CCCAAAACAAAAGAAAAAGGCCCCAAACCCCACAAAATCAAAGGAAACCCAAACAAAAAAAAAAAAAAAACCAACAAGCCTAACCGGAAAAAAACAAAAAAGAAAAAAATCCAAAACTCCTCCAAGCCAACTGGTTATTTTGGTGTGTTTTTGGAATTTTTCTCGATTGTTCGTTGTTACTCGGCCCTCAGCGGCTCCCTGAGAGTTGTGGGGGTATTGCCCTGCTGGCGTGGGCCACTGGTTCCTGAAGCCTTAATAACATCAAGGGCGATTTAATGAGGTTTTTTCTTAATGACGGCTCTCTTACTATTACTTTTGTTGTTGTATAGGGAGAATACAGACTGTCTCCCCCTGGTCTCTTGCATTTTGGCTCCTGTGCTACGTTTTCCCCTTTTAGAGCTTTTCATTATCTCTTCAGTAGCTGAACCTGCCCAAGAATTTCCAACTTTTTTTCATTTTTTTTCTTCCCTCCAGGAGCCTTTTTTGTTTGTTTGGGTTTTTTGTTTGTTTGTTTATTTTCTGGTATTTTACAGAGTAAGCTGATGCTGTGAGAGCTCAGTAAAGTGAGCTCTGTGGAAGAACTTCACAGTGATGACTTTGTGCCTGAGTGTTTCTGTCATAACAAACACCTGAAGTTTTATGAGGAACCTGTTCCTCCTTATAAAAGTGTTTTTAAAAGCATCACCCCTTCCCGACACGATGGCTTGGTTTTGAGGTCTGTGTCACTCTGTTTCAGCACCAAATATGTGCTTATCTGCTGAGTGTGGGGCAGATTTTGCTTTTTCCTTTGGTGAGGGGAAGCAGGTGTTTTTCTCTCTAAAATGATACTTGCAGGTAACATTTGACATACTTTGTGCAGCTGCTGTGGGAGGCTGGGGGCTGATGTACATGTGTAAAATGTTTCTATCCCATGGAATTGAGGCAGTGACTGACTGAAGCAGAGTGACTGACTGACTGAAGAGAGACCTACACAATCCACTTACAATGCTGTTTATGTCCTCTTCAGAGCACCTTCCTTAGCAATATTAGATTTGATCACTATAAATGACAGATCTCTGTGAAATCATGGTTTCAGATTCATAATCAGCAAAATGTACCTGGGATATAACCAGCAGGAGCAGGTGTAGAGTTTGAGGTGGTTCTCTCATTCAGGTTTTTTCTGTCCTTTGGACTTCTGGCACTGTGTTGGTTCTGGATTTGTTCTGATTTTTCTCTGATTTTTTGTTTAGTGACTATAAAGGTTGGTTCAATTTCTGATTTATCCAGCTGTCTAGCAGGCAGTCAGCATTTTGCTGTGTGCTCATTTTCTCACTACACCTTCATATATCTTACTCCTGTTACTGAATTACGTTCAGCAGATTGGTTTCTTTCCATCACATGTCAAGGTTCTGGATTAAAAAAAATCATTAAGTGCATAAAGACAGTTGTAAAAATGGCCTTAATACCTGGGATAACTTGACTTTGAAGTGCTTGAATGATGTTATATTGAAGTATGTTCATAAAGAGAAACAAGTTGTTAGTATAATCGCTGACCAGTGTAGCCTCCGATGGTGAACATGACTAAAGACCTTAAAGGCATTAATACTTTTGAACTGTTTTTTATGTGTGTCAAAGATAGAAAGTAAAAACTGGGTCGTTTTGCCTGCTTGGACTCATTTTTGTATGCTCAGTATGAATTAGAAACTCAAATTGAAAATACTCTGTAACATCTGGGGAGACTCCAGCTGTCAGTCCTTGTTCACACAATAGCCAAGCCTGCTTTCAGGTGGTCATGTATCTTCCTCTAGTGTAGACTTATTTGCAAACATGTCCTTTAATGACAGATTTATTAAGGTAGTTTCTGGTGAGCTCCTGCCTGAAACCCATTGCAGATTTTGGCAAAAAATGCTCTTTATTTACCTTTTTATTTAATTTCCAAGTGAAGCCAACAGTCTCAGCTGCTCCAAAGGGAATTTTTCCTGACCATGTGCTGTATTAAAATGATTTCAGGTGAATAATTAGCTGTGGTAGGAAAAATGCCATTTAAAGATTTTGTGGGAGCCATAATTTAAAAGATTGGTGCACCTAGCCTGGAAGTGTCTTCTGGGATATGGTTATGATAGGCTTGGGATAGTGACTGGAATATCAGCTTTCAGATGGTGTTGTTCCAGTTCCCCTTGTACTTTTCTTCCCTCTTAATTAATATATTGTCATGGAAAAGCAGCTCCTCGGAGCTGGGACAACTTGGTTGGTGGTGTCTGCAGGAATGGATGGGGTAGAGGCACACTTGTCTGGTGAAAATCAAGAAACAAATCCTAAGTTTAAACAACTACATTGATCTGCATCACAATAGTCAGATATTTAAATAAAACTTAGGATGAATAATGTTTTTTTGTTGCTGTTAGGTCTGTTAAGAGGAGGGTTCATGGTCCTGGCTGTGTTTCCTGGTGTCTAGAAATATTCTAGTGGTGAGAGGCTTACATACTGTTCCGTTGAGTAGTAGAGCACACCAAGGAATTTGTGTCTATAATGAAAGGTGAAAAAGGTTTAAGTTCTAGGCTGTTTCCAGATACAGGAAGAATTAGCACAAAAGAGAAAGAATTGCATGTGCCTTGGTTTTTATCTTCTGTGTCTTTTACCTTTTCATCAGGAGGAGGAGGATTGGAGGAAATGGTTTGAAAAATACCACAGGTAGGTGATTGACATGACATCTGTATAAAAAAGTTCCTGTGCATAACACATCCATGTGTGTATATGAGGTGGAAAAAACATTTGAAAATAAGCTACAAATGCAGTCAGTTGGGTTTTTTTTGTTTGTTTTTTTTTTAGAAATGCTGTTTTGAGTGACTGGCAAAAAGCTGGTACTGCTTTTCTTTGGTTTCTACGCAGTGTCCACATCTGTTGTTCCCAGTATCTTCAAACACAGGCTTGAATGCTTACAAACTTATTTGCATTTTTGCTACTGCTACAAATTTGCTCTGCTCTCCCTCTGCAGTAAAGAGGCAGTGGAACAGGAGGGGTGTTCATTTTGCAGGCAAGTCTGTCGTAGATAGGTGGTGTTATGTGTGCTGATAGTGGTAATTGGAGTGTGGTATTATGTTTTGAAGGAAAAGAAACCCAAAATAAACCCCTCAAAAAAAACCCCAAACCCCCAAAACGAAACAAAAACACCACCCCAACACCAAAAAACAAACCCCCATCTACATTTATGTTTGGCTCTTCTTTCTTTTCATTTCTCTGCCTCTGCCTGTCACCTGCCAGAATTGCACATGATAGTCACTGTAGTAGGATGGATCACAATGGCTGTGAAATGCTTGGAGTTTGCAGCTGTTCTGAGCAGGAATGAACCTCATTCTTCACTTCGGGGGTGCTTTAGCCTGGTATTTTAACTGTATATTTAATAGAAAGTTACTGCACAGGGTGATGTGTGGTGGGGAGCGTTCCTACAGCAGTGGGAATTCCTGCACCTTAAAAATTCTGCTTTTTGTGGTAGATTTCACGTGTGTACAACTGGTGGGCTAATGCAAAGGGTATTCCATCACTTAGCAAGGTACTCCAGATTGTAAAAACACCCAAGGTGTGATGGTCTTGCTATAGAATTAGTGATGCTGTGCCTGGCACAGGTGACCTCAGCCCCTGTCCTGACACAGACAATCCCTACTGCTGGTGTGCAGCAACACTGGATGCCTTACAGTGCTCTGTTTTGACCAAAACCCATCCATTTCAGCCCAGATGATGTAATTTAAGGTGGTTTTCTACGCTGCATGTTGGCTTTGTTGAAGCAGTGTAGCAAATATTTGTGCTATGTGCTCATGGGTGTGCCATGGGCCTTGCAGGGTCACTTGCTGTTTTGTCTCAATGCCTGTTTCTGATGTCCTTGTTATCTTGCAGTGCCACTTGAGGATGAGAAATTTTAATCCCTGACTCTTGTCACCTCAGGTTTAGCAGGAGGTGGAGAATGTTTTTCAGGGGTTATGTTAGAGCTCGGGAACCCCAGATGAAAAAGCAGCCCTTGTCCTTGAGTAAGTGGAACCACCCAGAGCTGAGGGTGAGATTTTCAAGGACTCAAAACCATTATCTGATTCTTCAAGGTTAGTAGGATGCAGCTGTGATTTCTTCACTGTTTTGTTTGGCAGAAACGTAATGTAGTGCTTGCTGATGTTGTGGGGAACGCATAAAGTCATGTGCATAAATTCTGAACCAACATCACCAAATAACTGAGATTCTAATGTAGACAGCTGTTGTAAAATAACATTAAATGGTTATTGAAATTATTTATTTTCCCTCCAAAATGAGTATCTTCGCTACTTGTATCCCTGACTTGAGCTATGTCCCTTTCCAGGGTTAGGAAATGGCCTTCATCTCCATCTCTGTAATCAACGTCTTGTGGCTCTTAATCTTTCCCACATCTTTTTCCTCTGTATATGAGATGGAAAAAAGGGAAAGGTGGCAAAAACCTGCGACTTTGAAGATTAGGCATAGAACATAGTATCAGATAATGTAAATGGTAAGGACTGCTGTCCAATATATGTCAAGGTACAAAAGACTTGCTGAATTATGTATGGTGCCATGTTGACACAAGCTAAGGCAAAATTTAGGAGATAATTACTAAACAAATTACTGTTGTTTGCTAATCTAACACAGTCAAATTTGATCAACAAAAGAACATGTCTTACAGGAAAAGTTCCAGGTTGGGAAGAAAAAAAAATCATTAAGTATGTGCCTTGAGCAAGGGCCTCTGGTGCTACTGCTTTCTAAGGTGTACTGGTGATTTCACAAAACACTTTTTTACTAAATTTATACGAATTTACAAAGCTTGGAAAAGCACTGGAATATTTCTGCATCTGCTCTGCAGACTATTAGGTGGCTTTTCTGGGGAGGGGTGTCCTCCATCAGAGCAGACGTAAGCACAGATTGTAAAATAAAGAGAAAAAAAGGGAGACTTGATCTGATGTGACTTTTAAGAGTGCAGAGACTGAGAACTTTTGTGCCCTTGATCTAGACATCAGCCAAATTTCTTGCTATCTTGGGACAGAAAAATTATTGCAACTAGAGGAAGAGTGAGGCTATATATCCTATCACAGGCTGCATTTGTTGTTTCTGTTTTTGTTGTTTGTTGTGGTGTTGTTTTTTTTTAATAAATGAAGCAAATGATTATGAAAGGGATTGTTTGTTTACAGGTCTACAAAGGGGTCTTAGAGGCCACCCTTTTCAGCACAGAAGCTGGACAGGAAAGAGAAAGCCTGGGGCTTTCCAGACGCTGTCAGCTGTGTCAGGCTTGGGGTGAAACCTCACAAAATCCTGGGGAGAGATTTGTGCTGGCTGAGCCAAGCAGGGAAGCATCAGACTCTGCTGTGGAGGCTTATATTAAATTACTTCAGCTGAGAAAATGAACTTTAATTTTCAGAGTCCAGCATGCAGCAGCCACAGATCAGGAGATGGGGCAGAAATGTTAATTTCTCTGAAACCTGACATGGAAGATAATTGTTTTAGGAAGCAGGACTGAGGAAACCAGCTGAAGCATTCCTGTGTGTCTTGGAAATATACCTTCTTGAGTAATGTTTTGTGATCTCCTGAAGGCAGTATTAGAGAGAAGCTTTTTTTTCCCTGTGCCTTGGTTAGAGAATTCTACAGATGAAAAATGTGCCTTATATTTTCTAATTTTTTTACTCTTGTCTGTTGCAGGGATTTGTTTTACTAACCCTGACTATCTTAAAACCAGATTCTTTTTTTTTCCTTTTAAGTAAAGAGGTAGAGGAGGAATTTTTTAGTACATAGTATTAATATGAGGTACATGTTTTGAATTTGATATTTCTGATGGTGCAAGATAAATAAGGACATTTGTAGCACTGAAAGAAAGTGCTGTGTCAGGTTCTTTATCTAAAACTGCACTGGGACAGGTGGTTGGAGCTGTGGAGAGGTGAATCCTGTGCTCAAAGGCTGTTTTTTTGTTTTTTTATGCTCATGTACCTGCATTATTTCAGGGCCATTGTGTTTGCTCACTGTTGTGTTTCAGGTACTGATGTGCAGCTGCAGCTGGGAGCCAGAAACATGAAGGTGAAGTGCTCCCTAACGTAAACAGAGACTTGTTTTAAAAATATTTATCCCTTCTCTGCTGTTTCTGTGCTCTGCTCCCCACTTTTTATGTCGTCATTAATTTACCTGGGAAGGCAACAATTTACATCCTTAACATGCACCCTGAGACCTCTGTGGTGCTTCACATCTTTGCTTTGTTGTAATTCGCGTTTTAAGATCTCAAACTTGTGTCTGACTGGTTCAGTGCCAAAGCAATTTTGTGCTGTATTTTACTAATGAGCACTTAATTGCCCTCTCAGCTGAAGTCCCAGTGGCATTTTTGCTCTGGCGTGCCCCTGCTGTGCCCTCATCTCAGCCTGCAGGTTTCTTTTCACTCCCGTGCAAACATTCTTTAGGAACTGTAAAGGAACACTAATACTAAAAAGCTGTTTTCCTGGAGTAGACCCCCTGCTTGGCATCAAGTGTCTTGGGTAAGGGTTAAATTTTTGAGTAGGGTTTTGTTGTTCTGGGTTTTTGGGGTTTGTTTTGCCCAGTATATAGTAAGAACCAAAAAAAACCCACAAAGAAACCCACCCACCCACCCAAAGAAAACCAGCCCAAAAAACCACCAAGCAAACGAAATTCCCCCCCAGCCCCCTCAAAAAAAACCCCCAAATGAATGAGAGTGAAGGAGTCATGAAAGTTGCTTAGAAAAAGCAGTGAGCTGATGAGTCTTGAGAAACTTTATTTTTTTTTCACGTACACAACTTGTGATGTTAAAAGTACAAGTGACTTTGTGCCCTTTTTCCTTTCCAAATGTGCTTTGTAGACATGGTGCTGACTGAGCACAAACCAGAAGGTTTGTAAGTGCTGGCTGAGGGTGTAGAGTGAGTGACTTCTGAATTTTTGGTTGAACTGTGTCCTTACTTATTTTATCTATTTTTTTTTTATTGCTGTCTTTTTTTTTTTTGTTTGTTTGTTTTGTTTTGTTTTAACAAATCTGGTTGTTTGCTCAGAGCTTGGTGGGGCGATGGGATTTGTGCTAAAATACTGTCCCATGTCATTATAGGGACTGGTGTTTCTTCCCTGCTTTGGTTTGTCAGATGTAGATTATCACCAAGCCTGAGCAAAACCCATGCTGAACCTGTGCCCATGTGTGGAAACAGCTGAAATTGGTGCTCAGTATGTGTCTTTTTGCCTTATCTTCAAACTCAGCCTAATCCATCAGAAGAGTAATTAATGTTCAATGCCAAGTAATAAACATAGCTGGATAAAGAGCAGCAAAATTGAAATTTAGCCGCATTGAAAGTGAATGTCTCAGTTCCTTGTGAATGTCTTGTGAATTATTTTTCTGTGAGGGTCAGGCGAAGCAAAATGAATTACAATTTTTAAATTAATAAATTTAAGCTGTGTGAGCTCTTTGTTTTCAGGGAGTTTAGTGTTGCATTTTAGAATAGATAAATAGCAGATGGAAAGAAAAAAAACATAATAAAACTTTGGTTAAGTGAAGACTGGGTAATGCAGGAATTTTCTTCAAAGAAAATGCCTGAGGAAACTGTTTAGTAAGATAAAGCAATTTGGAGCCTGGGCCTATTTTTTATTATTAATTTGACAGGGACGGGAAATTAAAATAATCCATCTCTTTGAAAAGTCTTGGATGTAGAGGTGGGAGGAGA